GGGTCACTGAGTCTGGGATGGTCAAACTGGTCAAAGATCTGCAGCCACTAAAGGCTGCGCGTCCAATCTTGGTCAGAGAGGTTGGAAAGGTCACACTCCCAATCATGTGGCAGTCTTTAAAGGCTCTGCTTTCAATTTCCGTTGTGCCTTCTGGAATGTTTTGCATGAAAAGGGCTTGGGAGCTGTTGAAATCTGTGAGATTGGGGCAGCCAGCATCGTTCTTTCTGGAGCACTCTATTGAGCGGACTGTGAAGCACACTTGCAAAACTGTATCTTCAGAAAGCCTAGCTGCTAGGGCCTAGCTCTCATGACTGTCTCAGCATCATCAATCAGCTTGGTTTCACCGATCATTAGTTCGACCAAGGTCATCTTCTTCATAGACTCATCTTTCCATTCTCGCTTTCCTTTCAGCTGTCTCTTGAGCTCACCGATGGTCATTTCCGGAGCTGCTTCAACTATGGTAACATCCCCATTCATCTGCTCCACTAGAATCTTCATCGATCCTAGCTGAATGTTCAGCTGTTCTTGCAACCTTCGGCAAGTGAAAGCAAGCAGCTGGAGCCTATGCAATCATAAAAAGGATATATATATATACCCTGAGAGTCGAAGACTAGGCTTTGTTTAGTCTTTGTTGCTCGCCTAAACTTTGCCGTGACAGAGCACTTTGGGATCAACATGATTAAGGCAACATACTTCAGTATGCAACCAAGAGCATGATTAACTACATTAGTCTCAGGACACTTTATCAGGTGCAACTTGTTGGATTCAACAAGATTCCAAGTGCGACCCACTATATCGGAAAGCCATGGCACTACAGCAGACCTCTTCCTTCTGCACCTTGATTGAAACATAAAATAATACCATGGAAATTCACTGGACTTTCAGAAACTTAGGCTGGTATCACCTTGATGAAACGAGCACTGAGCCTAGGCTCTGATCTTAGCAAATCTTCGAGGTGGAGGTTGTGCATCCTATGGTTTTCAATCTGAGGTCAGGCTGGCTTTCCTATTTATGGCCGTGTCTACGATGAAGATGATCACAAACCACCAGGTGCATCCCTTTGCCCTAACCTTCCTGGTAAGTATTCGCTTTTCAATTTCAAGCGCACTTGCAATGTCGGAAACATGAGAGTTCACTTCAGCTTCTTGAAGCACCGGGCTCAATGTTGGTGAAGTGGCACAGCTACTTAAGCAGTTGCCTTACACAAAATTGTGAGATTCACTAGCACTGCTTCAAGAGCATTCGGACTCACTAGATCTCAGATGGCATACAGGGCTTCCCGAATGTCGGAAGCGCGACTGCAGCTCCTTCAGGCACAATGCGCTTCGGGAGTCACCTCAATTACAATATTGGGTTTTATGGCACTCCCCAAAAAATGCGTTTCGTTGATATCGCTGGCAGGAGTTTTTCGATGACTTGCTGACCCCACGATTCCTTAAAGCTCGCCGCGGAGAAATCAGAAAGGAAAAAGGAAAGGGATCTGTCAGGTTCTGAGTCAAATGTGTGCAACCAAGTGGTTCAATGATGACCTTTTCTGTGCAATTGGGTTCTCCGCTAATGCCCAGGTGTTTTCCTTTGTCAACATCACGGAGCAAAAAGTTTCAGAGTCTCAGGCGCAGAATCTCTTTGGCCACTACATGTATGCATGGAATGTGTGATCATGTGCCTCCATAGTTAAAAGATTGTTTTGTAGCTCAGTTCATGGGCAGGTGGAAAAGGATCCCAACTACCTCTTTCTGGTGGAGTATCTTGCGCAATTCACGGGGGACCTGCCCACAATGAAGGAATGCGAGGCAATAGGGGTCGCTCGTACAGAATCTGTTTCGTTTCTTGCAGTGGTGCAATGTGTGTTTTTTGTAAAGTTCTCTTTGGATCTGCCATGTTCAGACTGTCTTGGCACGCATTTCCAAAGACAAGAAGCTCAATGCCTTCGATTGTTTCGCGCAGCATGAGGCTTGCTTTGTCAAACAATACAAAACATATGGAGTGTGAAGTTTATAATATACACATTTAGTGCGCCTGAAGGCATGGGCTATGATCGAAGCAGGGCAAATCAGGGGCTTAGCGTCTTACGTCACCAATCGCTGTGTCCGTACCAAGAATGCTCGGTGGGTTGCTCAGTGTTAAGATTGAGACCAGTATCAAACCTTTTGACTTTTATGGAAAATTCAACTGGGCTTTGTTAAGGTCAGGGCATTCAAGAATGATGGACCTGAAAACGATTGTCATGGAACGCCTGGAGGCATCATGTCGTTTTGCTTTGTGTCCAACCCCGAACCCTGAACTTAGTTGAACTTAGTATAGGTGATAGTGTTTGCTGATAGTTGGCTACCAGGAAAAAGGACTCCTGGACTCAGATGGCAAGAAGATCCCCACACCTGGTCGATCTCATGATACGCCGCCTCCACTGAAGAAAATGAAGAAGGCACTCGGCACTTGTTATGTGTTTCTGTATGTTGGCCATGTGTGCATTGACAAAATAGGCAACATGCCCAAACAGGAGCACAAGGAGGAAGACAAAGAGGATGGCTCAAGTGAGCACAAGGAGGGCGACAAGTCTAAGCCACCAACAACAGAAGCTGAGATGCTGGAAGCCCTTTCCCAACATGTTGAGGCCTCACAGGAACAATACCTGCCTCCTATGGAGGGGGAGGAGGAGGAGGGTGAAAGTGAGGGTGGGGAGGAAGAGGAACTGATATGTAGTTTGCATCCAGAGAGTCAGTGCGAAGACCCCATGGATACGGAGGTAGATGAGGAAGAATCAAACAAAGGTGATGCTGAAATTATCGTATCAGATGATGATGAAACTGAACGCAAGAATGTGGGCGCACTCAAGGACATGATTGTGCAAAAAAAACATGTCACATATTAAAACAATTTAAAACATGAAGTGGTTGGAACAGAAACATGTTTTTGTGGGTTTGTCTGCAGGACTCCAAACCCTTGGTTCCAGCCATCGCTCCGCTTCCGAGTTCTTCGCTGGTGGGTCAAGTGGAGGAGCAAATCGAACAAATGCGTGCTGCCAGTACTGAGGAGGGTTTGTTGGAGGCCTTGCGCATTATATTGTCTTGGTATATTTTGTGATGCTTGCTGGTGTCCGTGCTGCAATATATAATTTCACAGTGTTCCTATTGCACAGGCTCAAAAGGTTTTACGACAAGCTGCACGGAAAAAGGGCGAGGAGGAGGAGGAGGAAGAAGAGGATCCAGACAAGAAGTTAAAGGATGAAGCAGATGAGATTCTTGAACAGAAACGGAAAAATGCCAGTAGTAGGGGTAGGGGGAAAGGTCGTGGCAAAGGCCGAGGTGGGAAGGGAAAACAAAGCAAAGCAAAAGCAAAAGAAAAGGAAG